ACTACGTGCAATAATATTTAATTCTTGCACGAACAAATCAAGGAATATTTTCTATAAAACATCGAATAAAAGTTGAATATTAAACAAAAGGAAAAGAAAAGGAAAAGAAAAAAAAAAACACAGAGAGAGATAGAAAGAGAGAGGAAGAAGAAGAAGAAGAAGAAGAAGCTGACTATCCTGCCAGATTGAATCATCTTTCGGACGTCTTCGCGATCTCTCGACCGTGATAAACTCGAAATAGAATTTTTCTCTTTGTCGAGAAAGGGAACGATAATATTACAACACGTACGAAAAGAGGAACCTGAGAGGAATATTTGATTACGATCGGTACGATACAACAATCCTTTCCTCGTTAGAGCTTCAATATAATCATCTGTGAACTATATAAATTATCTTCAAGAAAAACAATTAAATAAAATAACAATAAATCGTAATGGAATTAGATAAAACTTTATTATTACTATTATTTATTATTATTATTAATGTTGTGAAAAATTTATTCGTATTTGCGAAGAGAAATATTATTGATAGGAGAGTGTTAATACAACTTAAAATAGAAAACAAAAACAGAAACTATGAAATATAAATTTACCGAAGTGTTGTTTAAAAAGAAAAACGATAGAAATGTAATGGAAACGTGTGTAGATTTTAAACGGCGAATACTTTAACGCGCGTAAAAGTTAAGAGAAAAAAAACTTTTCTAAAACATTTGTGTATAATTATCCATTAACTGTTTAAACACGAAGAAAATATTAAACGACCCAGAGAGAGAGAGAGAAAGATGGTCTCTTCATAAAGCTATTTTATTATATTACAACTAGAAGAAACGCGTATAGAATAATTCACATATGCGTAAATATGAAAAATAAAAGAACAAAAAAAAAAGAGAAAATAGAGAGCAGCAAAGAGAACAAACGACGAGGAGTCTCGAAGAAACGAGCTCTCTACGTCCTTTCAAAGCATACTAACGTGTCAGGATCGTTTCGTTCCAGTATTTTACTACCTTTACCTGGCTGCCATTCGATCCCTTATATACCTCTCGCTTCTCTAATTAACGATGGATCAATTAACGTCTTCTCACTTTCGTAGACCCTAACAGATACCTTCCGATGAGTAATATATACACATAATAATACATATACCGAAAAAAACGTGATATTATTTTCCTTTTTTTCCTTTTTTTCCCTTTTATCATAAAGAAAATCATTTTTTTATATATATATATATTAATAATATAATAAATGTATCACAGGGAAGTTGGATAAAGTAAAAAAGAAATCAGAATCGTTTATTGGGACTTCTTCAGTAACTATAATATATTACATAACCTTAAAAATACATATATAGTTTATCAAAACATTGAATAAATAATTATTAAAGATTACCTTGATATCGTCTGAACATTGATGATCGAGATAATCTTTAATTACTATATGTTATTAAATGTTTTGATAAAAACAATGAATTTTTAAGGTTATGTAATATTTTATAGTTGCTGAAGAAGTCCCAACGGAGGGACGAAATTTTCAACAAGATCAAAACATAACGTTCTGATTTCTTTTTTATCTTGTCCAACTTTCCTGTGATATATTTATTAATAATTTTATTGTTTTGACGAAATAAACAACTAATTGGACTATATATATATACATAGTATATATATAATATACAATTTTACATGAACATTATTATTATGATTTAATTATCAATATACTTGTCACAGAAATAAATATTATTAATATAAGTCTCAAAGGGAATTTTGGACGGTTGTTAAATCTTATGAACAATTTATTTAAAACCAGTTGTACGTTTCATCCCTTACTTGGGACTTCATAAGCAACTAAACAATTTTTTTATTATGACTTGTTAATCTATATAAAACATTACAATAAATTACAATAATTTTGTTACCTCGATCTTTACAGTTCACGTGTCAATATACATAATATCTTTCTTACAGAGTCATACATTTCAATAATACTTAACATATTACAATACAATTGTTTTCCTAAACACCTTATCTTATCACACGTAATCAAATACTGATTCTATCTAGACTAGTGTTTAATAATCTAGGTATCTTCAGTATTATTATGTCTTTTTATTCTTTTTTTTTTGTCAAGATACACACATACACAACTTGACATTAAATCATATATTTTTGTTTAGCATTTTACCATTGGGACAATATGCTAAAAGATCACCTAACAGCTTTATTTGCAACCCCCTTTTTCTCTCGAGTATACATACATCCCATATATACATACTCGTTCACTCGAAAGTACGCAGTTAGGATGTTAAGGACGTGTCGTAAACGGACCTCTTTGTCTTTAGAAAAACGAACGCGAAAAGAGAGAATTGGAAATAAAGAAAGAAATAAAGAAATAAAGAAAGACCCGCGTGCATATATTTATTTGTACCATATCCACTTCTCGTGTTCTACGCTCGAGCATGCCGTGAATTATGACTTTTCGCGACTAACAAACGCTTCCTCTTGTTCAACCATGCGTAGGAAGATTTCTTTTCTTTCTCTCTCTCTCTCTCTCTTTCTCTTTCTCTTTCTCTTACATATACATTTGTAATTATTATCGTTAACCGGATCTTTATAAATTTCATTTGTTTTTATTTTATATAAAGACAACAATCTACAAAACTCAATTCGTGATGTTATTATCATACTAATAATCATCATCATCATCATCATCATGATCATACTAATAATCATCATCATCATCATCATGATCATCATCATCATCATGATCATCATCATCATGATTATCATTGAGAAAGGGATTAATCTATTCGATGCTGAATAAACTTTGAAGTGATACATACCTTAGATTCGAATTTAAATGTGATTGACGTATGTCATGGCAACAAACCATAAATGTGAATTATCATCATCATCATCATCATCATCATCATCATCATCATTATGATCATCATCATCATCGTGATAATCATTGAGAAAGGAATTAAAATCTAATAATTCGTTTCTATTCGATGGTCAATAAACTTTGAAGTGATACCTTAGATTCTAATTTAAAAGTGGTTGACGTATGTCATGGCAACAAACCATAAATGTGAATCGAGTCTGACATATACAAGAGAAAGAAAGAAAGAAAGAAAAAAAGAAAGAAAGAGAGAGAGAGAAAAATAAGTTGTGTAGGTGTCGGTTATGATGATGAAAAGAAAAGGAAAAGGGGAAAGAAGAAAAGATTGAACACGACGGAACGAAGCCACGATATAACTCTCATTCAACATGGCAAACGAGTTGAAGGTGCTCTCTCACAGTAAAAGAAAGGAAGAGAGAGAGAGAGAGAGAGAGAGACAGAAAGAGTAATTAATCGTACACAAGTGCGAAATATCTTATGTGGAAATTAAAATGTGCTAACTCTCTTTAAACGTGGGCGTTTATAACGATCGTGTTTTCTCACACTATTATTATTATTATTATTATTATTATTATATATATTTCACATTAATTTTTCATTTTAATGAATAACAAGAAAAATAGATTAATATTTTTATTGCATTTTATATTGTATACTATAATAATAATTGTTGTATTCTATAGACACAAAGATATGAAGTAATATCAAAATGAAGAGATATATAGATTTGGTCCATAACTATGCTAAAAATCTAACACACA